TCACGCCTGCGGGCGGGAGCAGAGCCCTTGCCAAGGGCGGGAGGCGGAGGAGACCCTCGTGCCGCAGGCTGGGAGCTGTGCCCGGGGGAAGGACCTTGGCCTCAGGGCTTTGGCTTGTTTTCCCTGTGATCTTCCCTTGGAGCGGGGACGGAGACCGGCCTGCGAGGAGAAGGCGCGTATCGGAGGTGAGCCCTAAACATCGCAGCTGGGACTCGAGCTTTTCATAGAATCACAGACTGGTTTGGGGGGGAAAGGACCTTAAAACCCCCCCAGTCCCACCCCCTGACATGGGCAGGGACACCTTCCACTAGCCCAGGTTGCTCCAAGCCTCATCCAGCCTGGCCTTGGACACTTCCAGGGATGGGGCATGCACAGCTTCTCTGGGCAACCTGTCCCAGTGCCTCCCCACCCTCTGCGGGAAGAATTCCTTCCTGATGTCCAATCTCCATCTCCCTCTTTCAGTTTAAACCCGTTACCCCTTGTCCTGTCACTCCCTGCCCTTGTTTCTCAGGAGGAGACGCAGGAGGGGAAGGGCAGCGGGCAGAGAAACATCTCTGCAGGGAAATTACACCCTGGAAAAATGACCAGAAACAGAAAACAACTGGAAAGAGCTCAGGGGTCACCCGCTCCATCTCCTCGCTCCAAAGCAGGATCCAACCTTGCCTTCCTGCTCGCCTGGCCTAGCCTGGCTGCAGAGCCCCTCCCCGCTGCAGCAGGGAGGGATTATCCAGGCCTTTGGCTTCCCAGGAGGATTCACAGGCTTCGCCCCTTCCCCTGCCATCCTGTGAAAGGTTCTGAGGAGGGGAAAAGATGCGAATTTTGAACAGATGAGGCTGGAGACGCAGTTTTCTGCATGTTTACATGCTAGAACATGAAATTAATTTACTTGACACTGCAGTGTCTCGGGAGGAACTATCAATTTTTATAGCTTACGTGAAAATAAATCTGTTCTTTCTCCTTACAGCACGACGCGTACCCTGTATGTACATTTGCTCGGGGTTATATACACCAATATTTAAGTACATGAACACATCGGGAACGGACAAACAGTTTCTGTTCTGCTCTACAAAGAACTGACGGAAACAGGTACTTTTTGGCAGTCCAAAAAAAACGTGGAAGAGGGAAGGGCCGAGTCGCTTTTACAGTGATAAAAACCCGTTGGCTTTGGACACCGTGGAGAACGCGGCCGCGCCCTGGGGGCAGAAAAGCCGTAACACAGGGCTGCTTTCCCAAAGGAAAAAACCTGCCGTCGCGACGCCGTGTCCGTGGGATCCTCCGTGAAACGGGCGGAAGGCACCTTCCGCTGCCTCCCCTCCCTCCTCGTCCTCGCGGCTCTGCCGAAGCCGCCGCGGTTCCCTCGCCGGGGCAGGCATCTCCTCTAGGGCTCGGGGC